ATAGATAGATAGATAGATAGATAGATAGATAATAATAGATAGATAATAGATAGATAGATAGATAGATAATAATAGATAGATAGATAGATAGATAATAGATAGATAGATAGATAGATAATAGATAGATAGATAGATAATAGATAGATAGATAGATAGATAGATAGATAGATAGATAGATAGATAGATAGATAATAGATAGATAGATAGATAGATAGATAGATAGATAGATAGATAGATAATAGATAGATGGATAGATAATAGATAGATAGATAGATATAGATAGATAGATAATAGATAGATAGATAGATAGATAGATAGATAGATAGATAGATAGATAGATAGATAGATAGATAGATAGATAAAAGATAGATAGATAATAGATAGATAGATAGATAGATAATAATAGATAGATAGATAGATAGATAGATAGATAGATAGATAGATAGATAATAGATAGATAGATAGATAGATAGATAGATAGATAGATAGATAGATAGATAGATAGATAGATAGATAGATAGATAGATAGATGATAGATAGATAGATAATAGATAGATAGATAATAGATAGATAGATAATAGATAGATAATAGATAGATAGATAGATAGATAGATAGATAGATAGATAGATAGATAGATAATAGATAGATAGATAGATAATAGATAGATGATAGATAGATAGATAATAGATAGATAGATAGATAGATATAATAGATAGATAGATAGATATATAGATAGATAGATAGATAGATAATAGATAGATAATAGATAGATAGATAGATAGATAGATAGATAGATAGATGGATAGATAGATAGATAGATAGATAGATAGATAGATAATAGATAGATAATAGATAGATAGATAGATAGATAGATAGATAGATAGATGGATAGATAATAGATAGATAGATAGATAGATAGATAGATAGATAGATAGATAGATAGATAATAGATAGATAATAGATAGATAATAGATAGATAGATAGATAGATAGATAGATAGATAGATAGATAGATAGATAGATAGATAGATAGATAGATAGATAGATAGATAGATAGATAGATAGATAGATAATAGATAGATAGATAGATAATAGATAGATAATAGATAGATAATAGATAGATAGATAGATAGATAGATAGATAGATAGATAGATAGATAGATAGATAGATAGATAGATAATAGATAGATAGATAGATAGATAGATAGATAGATAGATATATAGATAGATAGATAGATAGATAGATAGATAGATAGATAATAGATAGATAGATAATGGATAGATAGATAGATAGATAGATAGATAGATAGATAGATAGATAGATAAGATAGATAGATAGATAGATAGATAGATAGATAGATAGATAGATAGATAATAGATAGATAGATAGATAGATAGATAGATAGATAGATAGATAGATAGATAGATAGATAGATAGATAGATAGATAGATAGATAGATAGATAGATAGATAGATAGATAGATAGATAGATAGATAGATAGATAGATAGATAGATAGATAGATAGATAGATAGATAGATAGATAGATAGATAGATAGATAGATAGATAGATAGATAGATAGATAGATAGATAGATAATAGATAGATAGATAGATAGATAGATAGATAGATAGATAGATAATAGATAGATAGATAGATAGATAGATAGATAGATAGATAGATAGATAGATATAGATAGATAATAGATAGATAGATAGATAGATAGATAGATAGATAGATAGATAGATAGATGATAGATAGATAGATAGATAGATAGATAGATAATAGATAGATAGATAATTGATAGATATTTTACCAAAATTAATACTGAGATGCCCAGTTAACCAGCCTATAACTCTCGATGATCGGCACACACCCGGTTCTCCAGGGTATTACTTTGTCCCAGTGTTAGGCCCCCTTCCCCCAGGCGTTCCGTATGTCCATTTTTCTTCTGTCTGTTTACAGATGAAAAATAGACCTCCATGTATTTCTATGGACTAGCCGATGATCGTCTGTTTACATCCAATAATGTCCGCATCCGTTAACATCCGTTTTTTTGAATGGAAGAAAACCCTATTTGGGGGAAAGAGATTGTGGACAGGACAGGGCGGGGTGATCGCTGTGGCAGAGGATGCATTTACTGGAACCGATCCCTATGTAGTTCTTCCCTGCAGCAGCTAAAAGCAGGAAAAAAAAGTAGGTAATACTGTGGGGTACAAGGGCTCACGGGGGGGGGGGGCCTGACATCAGCGGGAAAGAGATTGTGGAGAGGACAAGGGGGTTGATCCTTGTGGCAGAGGGTGCATTGTGCATTTGCTGGAACCGATCCTCATGTAGTTCCTCCCTGCAGCAGCTGAAAGCAGGAAGAAAATCTGGCAATACTGTGGTGGACAGGGGCACACGGAGGGGGGCTGATAGCAGGGGGAAAGAGATTGTGGACAGGACAAGAGGGGGGTGACTGTTGTGGCAGAGGGTGCATTTATTGGAACCGATCCCCATGTAGTTCCTCCCTGCAGCAGCTGAAAGCAAGAAGAAAAGCTGGCAATACTGTGGGAGACAGGGGCACACGGGTGGGGGGGCTGACAGAATGGGGAAAGAGATTGTGCACAGGACAAGGTGGCGTGATCGTTGTGGCAGAGGGTGCATTTACTGGAACTGATCCCCATGTAGTTGCTCCCTGCAGCAGCTGAAAGAAGGAAGAAAATCTGGCAATACTGCGAGGGACAGGGGAACACAGGGGGTGGGGCCTGGGCAGCAGTGGCAAAGGGATTGTATACATAACAGGGAGGCTGATCGGTGTGCTGGGGGGGTCAATTAGTGGAATCCTGCAGCTGCTGAAAGCTGGCAGGAGGGAGAAGAGGAGAAACCTACATTCTGTTACTGCAGGGAGAGCCATAAAGTGGGATTAATTCTAGTAATTGCCCCCCCCCACCACACCAATCCTCCTCTCCAGTCCAAGATCTGATTCCCCCTGCTTGTCAGCTGCTTGGTTTCCATTGCTGAATTGATGGGGCCCAGGTCCTGTACAGGATGCCCCTCTGTACCCCCTTATTGGCAGCCCTGACAGTCTTGCAAGGACTTCCTTTGTCACTATCAGAGACTTGACAGCCTAGGACCAGAAAAGGGTCCACCTGTACTACATTTCAACCATGGATCTGTTTCTTCGAAAGAAAAATCACTATACAGTAGATCCATCAGAACCAACATTTACTTCTATCAGCCCAGTGCTACCACACACATCAGGCCTTATAAAGCATAGGATATGAAAGGAAACTTGTAAGGGTTTCAAAAGCCCCCTTATCAGTTACCTTTGCCCAAGTGATAAGCAGCAAGAATGCATCTTTGAACCTGGGCTTTGGACCCCTTTAGAAGGTAAGCTGTAGACCCTTTCATAACAAAGGATATAGAGGATTATTGGCAAGAGGTCCGAAGGATCCCATTAGGAGTTTACTGGTAATAGCTCTAAAACATGTATTTTATTTTACACAGGTGATAAATTGGTGTCAAAGAAAAATGAAGATTCTTCTTCTCCTCCAGTTGTTCTTCTCGTTGGTCCTTGCAACGGGCCCTTGCAAACCAAATCAAGGACACAACTACAACCTTTGCTTTGAATGGCTGGTGTCAGAGGTATCTAAATCTCAAATGGACTTTGCTGTGAGGATTTATCAACACATATCAGCACCAACATTAAGACCCCCACCAAACCTATTTATTTCACCGATCAGCATCTATACAACCCTCTCCATGCTGGCTCTCGGCGCCCAATCCAAAACCCACAAGGAAATTCTCTTCGCCTTAGGACTGAATGACACCATGACAGACGAGGAGCTGCATAATGCTAACAAAAAGCTCCTCAAAGTGTTAAGTCAGCAAATCAAAGATGTAGAATTCAAGCTCGGTAATGAGATCTTCATAGACTCGTCGGCAAAAATTCTACCAGAATACCAACAGAATGTGGCTTGGTACTACAACGCCTCTATTCAGACCATCAGCTTCAGTGACCCTCAGAATGCTGAGGGAACAATCAATGAGGTTGTGAGGAACAGAACAGACAATAAGATACAACATACGGTCGATAACTTGGATCCCAAAACATTGATGATTCTTCTAGATTATGCAGTCTTTCAGGGTAAGTCCATTTTGCTGTTGACTAGAAAAAAATAGATTTTGGGGCAGGAGAATTGACAAAACACGGACAATAACAAGGACTAACGTTTTCAAGAGAATATCATAAAAGGGTTGTATTTACTATAAGGCACTTGTAGGCCAGTCCTAGGTCTCCAAGCAAGGAGGCAGCACTAGACCTAAAATTTACAAATTTAGATTTTCTTTTTTTTAATCTATGTTGTTTGCATCATCTGTCCACCTCAGAACATTTGCGGCTAAATTTAGCAAGAGAGAATTATAGGGGAAGGGAGGTGCAGGGAATGCTGAGAAGAGTCAACAGGCTCTTCATGACATGAAACCATCTCTCCTTTCTCTTTTTTTGGTGGTAGATACGGGTAAAAGGTGGATCTTCTTATTATTCAGACTGCATACTGCCTTCTATAGTATACCTATTGACTATTGTAACTCCCTCATTGGCCGACCTCATCGCAGGCTATCCCCTCTTCAGTCTATCATGAATGCTGCTGCCAGACTCATCCACCTTACTAATTGTTCCATATCTTCCACCCCCAGGGGCGGACTGACCATTTGGAAACTCGGACACTGCACGAGGGCCCGGGGTCAGTAGGGGGCCCCATGAGATGCCCCTGGTACCTTTTTCATGGGCTTTTTTGAGTTTGGGCAAGGACACAGGGGCCCCATGATCCCCTATTGCCCGGGGGCCCATGAGTTGTCAGTCCACCCCTGTCCACCCCTCTCTGCCAATCCCTCCACTGGCCTCCATTCAGTGTCCCACCACCCTCTCTGCCAATCCCTTCGCTGGACTCCATTCAGTGTCCTCCACCCCTCTCTGCCAATCCCTCCACTGGCCTCCATTCAGTGTCCTCCACCCCTCCACTAGCATCCATTCAGTGTCCTCCACCCCTCTCTGCCAATCCCTCCACTGGCATCCATTCAGTGTCCTCCATCCCTCTCTGCCAATCCCTCCACTGGCATCCATTCAGTGTCCTCCACCCCTCTCTGCCAATCCCTCCACTGGCATCCATTCAGTGTCCTCCACCCCTCTCTGCCAATCCCTCCACTGGCTTCCATTCAGTGTCCTCCATCCCTCTCTGCCAATCCCTCCACTGTCCTCCACCCCTCTCTGCCAATCCCTCCACTGGTCTCCACTCACTATCTTCCACCCCTCTCTGCCAATCCCTCCACTGTCTTCCACCCCTCTCTGCCAATCCCTCCACTGGCTTCCCATTGCCCAACGGATACAATTCAAAACATTAACAATAATATATAAAGCCATTTATAACTCTGCCCCCAAAAAGCCGGATTTGTGTTTCTTTTGTATCTTCTGCAAATTACATCACAAATCTTGTCTCCAAATATCACCCAAACCGTCCTCTCCGCTCCTCGCACGACCTCCTGCTCTCTAGCTCCCTTGTCTCCTCCTCCCATGCTCATCTCCAGGACTTCTCCAGAGCTTCCACTATCCTCTGGAACCCTCTACCCAAATTTATCAGACTATCGCCTACTCTGCTCACTTTTATGCGATCTCTGAAAACCTCTCTCTTCAGGGAAGCCTATCCTGCCCTCAGCTAATAATGGAATCTTCTACTCCTCCTACCAGTCCATCCCCCCACAGTTACTACCTTTTGTACCTCCAGCCCCTTCCTCTTAGATTGTAAGCTCCCAGGATCAGGGCCCTCCTATCCCTCTTGTATTGAACTGTATTGCTGCTGTATTGTCTCCCTTTATATTGTAAAGCGCTGAGCACACTGTTGGCGCCATAAATCCTGTATAATAATAATAATATAAATCCTGTATAATAATAATAATAATATACCTACTGTATCATTAGGTTCAGCTGAAATAGTCACATGCAGAGCTTGTATGAAAGGACATTATCACTCAAGATTGCCTTTGGTGGCATAACGTCTAAACACAACCTTTTCTACAAGTATAGAGGAAAGTAGAATGATTTCCCACGTTTTCTATTTTGATGCCCTTGGTTACCTTTTGATGCGAGACGAAAATTGTGTGAAACTGGTTGGTCCACGAATAACTCTACAGCTATTCCCTGAGGGTGTCAGCTCAGAGTATAAATGTAAACGTGTAGCCAAAAGGATCATTCACATCTTGGGATCAGATATGGACATGGAAAGACTTTACTAGTTATTAGCCAACTTAGATGTGCTCACTGGATGTTTTCTCGATCTTGCAGGCCTTGACATATCCATTGTGTCCAATGGAAATACACTCACCGGCCACTTTATTAGGTACACCTGTTCAATTGCTTGGTAACTCAATTGCTACTCACTCAGTAGTCAATCACATGGCAGCAACTCACTTTATTAAGGGCATCTAAATGCTGTGAAGATGATTTGATGAAGTTCAAGCCAAGCATCAGAACGGGGAAGAAAGGGGATTTAAGTGACTTTGAATGTGCCATGGTTGTTAGTGCCAGTCGAGCTGGTCTGAGTATTTCAAAAACTGCTGATCTACTGGGATTTTCATGCACAACCATCTCTAGGATTGACAGAGAATGGTCCAAAAAAGAGAAAATATCCAGTGAGTGGCAGTTGTGTGTGGAGGAAAATGTCTTGTTGATGTCAGAGGTCAGAGGATAATGGGCAGACTGGTTCCAGATTATAGAAAGGCAACAGTAACTCAAATAACCACTCATTACACCCAAGGTATACATAATACCATCTCTGAACGCACAACACATTCAACCTTGAAGCAGATGGGCTACATCAGCAGAAGACCACTCCGGGTGCCACTCCTGCCAGCTAAGAACAGGAAACGGAGGCTACAATTTGCACAGGCTCACCAACAATGGACAAGAGAAGATTGGAAGAACGTTACCTGGTCCGATAAGTCTCGATTTCAGCTGTGAAATTCAGATGGTAGGGTCAGAATTTGACATAAACAGCATGAAAGCATGGATCCATCCTGCCTTGTATCAACGGTTCAGGCTGGTGGTGGTGATATCATGGTGTGGTGGATCCATCCTGTCTTGTATCAATGGTTCAGGCTGGGGGTGGTGGTGTCAAGGAGTGGTGGATCCATCCTGCCTTGTATCAATGGCTCAGGCTGGTGGTGTCATGGTGTGGTGGATCCATCCTGCCTTGTATCAATGGTTCAGGCTGCTGGTGGTGGTGTCATGGTGTGGTGGATCCATCCTGCCTTGTATCAATGGTTCAGGCTGCTGGTGATGGTGTGGTGGATCCATCCTGCCTTGTATCAATGGTTCAGGCTGGTGGTGGTGGTGTCATGGTGTGGTGGATCCATCCTGCCTTGTATCAATGGTTCAGGCTGGTGGTGGTGGTGTCATGGTGTGGGGGATCCATCCTGCCTTTGTATCAATGGCTCAGGCTGGGGTGGTGGTGTCATGGTGTAGTGGATCCATCCTGCCTTGTATCAATGGTTCAGGCTGGTGGTGGTGTCATGGTGTGGTGGATCCATCTTGCCTTGTATCCATGGTTCAGGCTGGTGGTGGCGTAATGGTGTGGTGGATCCATCCTGCCTTGTATCAACGGTTCAGGCTGGTGGTGGTGGTGTCATGGTGTGGTGGATCCATCCTGCCTTGTATCAATGGCTCAGGCTGGTGGCGGTGGTGTCATGGTGTGGTGGATCCATCCTGCCTTGTATCAATGGTTCAGGCTGGTGGTGGTGGTGTCATGGTGTGGGGGAGATTTTCTTGGCACGCTTTGGGCCCCTTAGTACCAATTGAGCATCGTTTAAACCCCTCAGCCTACATGAGTATTGTTGCTGACCATGTCCATCCTTTTCTGACTACAGTGTCCCCATCTTCTGATGGCTCCTTCCAGCAGAATACTGCACCATGTCGGAAAGGGTTGAAACCCCAATTAGGTTGCTTGTTGCGGATTACTGCTGAAGCACCACGCTGCGCCTCCCCACACAATGCACACTCGCCATACTATGTGGAGCAGCAGCATTGTCACCCTCTCTCCTCATCTCACTGAATTCAGGGGAGGGGGTATGTAGTCCTCAGAACTGGGAGCAATTCTAACCGATACCAGTGCAGCAGAGGCAGACAGCACAGGACCTTATCAGTTCACTTGATTGTCATCAGAATTAACAGTTTTTGTTGTACTTATTGAACAGATATAACAAAACACTTTTATGTCTAAGTGTCAGTAAAAGAAACAAAACAAAACAAAAAAATCAGCACAAGGGACATAACATATGGTCAGTAGGATGTGTCCCTTGTGCTGATTCCTCTTGTTTTAAGTGAAATCCTCCAGTGTCCCTGCCCCCCACCACTGAAATCGTCCATTCTGGTGAGGGTTAATACAATTAGATGGCACATGCTTTCATCAAGAGAGCCCACCCAAGCCTGCTCTTCTTTCCACCCCACTCCTCCATTCATACAAGCCGTCCTACAGCTTCTATGAAGAAAACATGATCTATGAATGGAAGACAGGCAGACAATTGATAGTTCCGCCCCCTTTCATTCATAGATCCCAAACCAATTCTAGTTTACCTTTAAAGCAATCATCTTTTGTTCCCGCAGGTAAATGGCGATCGGAATTTCGCAAAGAAAATACGGAGAAGAGAAACTTCACGGTGAAGAATGAGAAAACAGTCTTAGTGCCAATGATGCGCCAAAAGGGATTGTATAAGACGTACAAGGACACGGAGACGAAATGCGATGTGGTGGAAGTGCCGTACGCCGGGAACATATCCCTTATCCTCATCGTACCGCAACTGGGTGACCTCTACCACGTGCAACGATCACTGACCCCCCAGAGGATAAAAGAATACATTCGCTCAATGAAATCCAGGTATACATGAGAGCTGCAAGAAACAGAATTCCAGTTTTAGCCCTGTCAGCCAAATGATCATTGTGATGGGAGTCACTTTGGGTGGGGGGTCCATGGAACACAGCTCCTTTTGGAGAGGTGGGGAGACCCCTGTCTCAGCTCCCCATATCCCTCTTATGTGTAAGTCATCCTGTGCCTGTTAGGGATACAGGGTGGTCTGTCCTAATATTGTGTAGACATGTATAGGAGATAGGTGGGGTGGGGGGTTGTGGATTGTTTAGTGTTGTGTGGCATTGTTCTATTGTGTGTCTTGCTTGGGAGCAAAGTATTATGGGATGTATGTGTTTATGTGTATAAGCTTAGTGGGGGGGGGTGTCTCCAGCAGCCCTCCCTCCTGATGGGACTGTCTGCTGGTGTGAAGTTTGAATAGCTGTGTGTTTCTTGTTACTAAATGGAGATTGCCACACATTGTGACATTATGCAGGGAGGGGGGATTTGTCTCTTGAGTGTATATATCTTGTATCTGTGTTAAAATAAACTAGTCTACCTCCTGGTTTACTTCATGACTGGTGTCGTCTAGTCTTGTATGGTCAGCGGTGGTGTCTGTGGTCGGTGTTCGGACAGATTGGTGTCGTCTAGTCTTGTATGGTCAGCGGTGGGGTCTGTGGTCGGTGTTCGGACAGATTGGTGTCGTCTAGTCTTGTATGGTCAGCGGTGGGGTCCGTGGTCTGTGTTCGGACAGATTGGTGTCGTCTAGTCTTGTATAGTCAGCGGTGGTGTCAGTGGTCGGTGTCGGACAGACTGGTGTCATCTAGTCCTGTATGGTCAGCGGTGGTGTCTGTGGTCGGTGTTCGGACAGATTGGTGTCGTCTAGTCTTGTATGGTCAGCGGTGGTGTCTGTGGTCGGTGTTGGGACAGATTGGTGTCTAGTCTTGTATGATCAGCGGTGGTGTCCATGGTCGGTGTTCAGACAGATTGGTGTAGTCTGGTCTTGTATGGTCAGCGGTGGTGTCTGTGGTCGGCGTTCGGACAGATTGGTGTCGTCTAGTCCTGTATGGTCAGCGGTGGGGTCCGTGGCCGGTGTTCGGACAGATTGGTGTTGCCTAGTCCTGTATGGTCAGCAGTGGTGTCAGTGGTCGGTGTTCGGACAGATTGGTGTCGTCTAGTCTTGTATGGTCAGCGGTGGTGTCTGTGGTCGGTGTTCGGACAGATTGGTGTCGTCTGGTCTTGTATTGTCAACGGTGGGGTCCGTGGTCGGTGTTCGGACAGATTGGTGTCGTCTGGTCTTGTATGGTCAGCGGTGGGGTCCGTGGTCGGTGTTCAGACAGATTGGTGTCGTCTGGTCTTGTATGGTCAGCGGTGGGGTCCGTGGTCGGTGTTCGGACAGATTGGTGTCGTCTAGTCTTGTATGGTCAGCTGTGGTGTCTGTGGTCGGTGTTCGGACAGATTGGTG